ATGGATGCTGGACCCCAGGGGTAGCAGGCTGGCTCTTCTTCAGCCAGCGGTAGGGCCAGAAGCTCTCTGGCTCAGGGAAGATGTCAGGGTCACGGGACACCACATAGTGACAGAACACAAACTGGGTCTGCGGAGCGAGAAGGGGCAGCCCATCAGCTTAGGGCCGCAGGGCAGCCCTGGGAGCCCCAGCTCTTCAGCCCCACTCACGTTCTTGGGGAAGAGGAAGCCACCGACTTCGATTTCCTTTTCCGTGATGACCCGGGAGTTCGTGGGGACCACGGGGTAAAGGCTGCAGGGAAAAGAAAGCACAGGTTCGCCTCTGGTGCCCCAGGCCCTTCTTCCCATCTCACCCCTGGCCCTAGCGCCAGCCCAGCAGCCCCCACTTCCGACTCCTGTCTCTGAGTCCTCCTCTGCACAGACCCTGTGCTCCTGGGAACCGCAACCTACCGCAGGGTCTCCTTAAGCACAGCTTTGAGCAGGGGCATGTGTGCTAAGTCCTTGTACTTGGGCACGTGCCCGGGGGGTACCACGCCCACCACTTCCTTATGCAAGGCAGCCTGGATCTCTGGGTTCTTTGAAAGATGGTACAGGGCCCACGTCATTGTGTTGGATGTCTGGGAGGCAGAGGGAGAGATAAAGTGAGGAGGGATTTCTAGGAAAAAGGCTAGTTAGGTAGTGGGGGGAGTGTGAGTGAGCATGCGCAGAAAAATGAATTTGCCGCGAGCATGGCAGAAACAGACACAGGGGCTCATGGGGACCCTCCATGTGACTCCACGGCAGGATGAGGACCCATACGATGGAGAATCACGTTCTAACAACAAGGAAACCGTAACAGAGGGCAACCCCACGTGACAAAAGGAATGCAGAGTCTGACCAAGAAGGCGCTTGTGGTCGAGCTCTCTGCTTAAATTGCATCTCAAATAGATGTGAGATGTGACTTCCTAGCTGGCCAAGAGAGGCTCCAGGAGGCCATGGGATACCTCTTACAAAAGAACCATTCCCAGAGCGCCTGGATCGCTCAGTCGAGTTGGGCGTTCGACTCTTGATTTCTGCTCAAGTTATGATCCCAGAGTTGCGGGATCAAGCCCCACATCAGGCTCTGTGCTGTGTGTGGAGCCTGCTTAAGATTCTCTCTCTCTCTGTCTCTCTCTCTCTCCCTCTCCACTGCTCACATGCAGGCTCTCTCTCTCTCAAATAAAAATAATAAATAAAAAACAAACGAAAAAGAACCATTTCCTGCCCACCTCTGCCGGGTTGAAGGACCTCCCTGTTTTCCTTCTAGCTCTACATCTGTGACATAGAAAGAGAAGCAGGTACCTGGAGGAACGAAGGTCAGGCTCAGATGAGGGTAATGGGGAATTGGTTCAGGACAGGAGCTGGGAGCCCCCGGTCTCCTTGCTGGCCCCCCTCACGCACCGTGTCTACGCCAGCCAGGAGCAGCTCGGGCAGGCTGCCCATGACCTCATGAGCACTGAGCTGTCCTCTGGTGAGCAGGAAGTGCAGGTAGCCAGATATCTGCACTTCATCTGGCCCACTTTTCTGCAGCTGGGTCTCTATCTCCTTGAGTTTCTGATCAATCAGCTTCTTCCCTACAGAGACAATGGAGAACAGAGGAGGACAAGGTCAAAAGCCATGATCTCCCAGGACCAAGAGCCACTCTGACGGCTGGAAGCATGAGGTAGGGAGTCCTGGGACAGACTGCTGACGCACAGACCCTGGAACCCACCCCACAACCTCCGTCCCTGGCCTCCTCACCGAAAGAGAAGATGGTGTTCCAGCCATCCAGATATCGCTTCCAGAAAGGCAGCAAGGAACGGCTCCACTTGGGGAGGAAGGTGACATAGAGTGAGTTCTGGAACATGAGCCCGACAGATCTGACGAAGGCCACGGTGTCCTGGCGGATGGGTCGCTCCAGGCAGCCAATACGTTTCTCAAACAGGATGTAGCAAATAGCTGGCAGTGCACAAAGGCCATCACAAGAGGTAGTGTCATGGCACCCAGAATCCAGGGGGCTTGAGGAGAGGGAACACGACCTGCCTCTGGCCCCTGCCCGCCCCAGCCCCTGTCCCCACAAGGGTACCTTCCAAGGCAAAGTAGTAGAAATGGTGAGCCATGTCAGACACGTGGTCCCCTGAGGCACTCTCTGCCAAAAGATGGTTCAGGTGGGCCAGGAAGTCGTCAATCACCTCATTCAGAGCATCGGTGTAGAGCGCAGCCTCACTGGGCTTCAGCATCCGCTGGTTCAGAGCTTGGCGTAGCTGGTACCAGTGGTGTCCTTCCCTGTGGAGGATGGAGGAACCGCACACTTGTAAGCAGCTGATGGAGGTTAGATTAGATGGGGTCTTCCCCCTGCCCCAAGACCTCAACAGGGTCTAGGAAAATCTCAGACTCCTAGACTTAGAATTACAGAATCACTGAATTTCAAATGACAGAATCTTGGAATCACAAAACTTCAGAATCTCACTATACCATCGTGGGAGTAGTCAAGATGGGCATCTGGAGCCAGACTCCCTGGGGTCAAGTCACAGGTCTGATGATTACTGGCTGAGTGACCTTAGGCAGGTGACTTAACGCCTCCGTGCCTCAGTTTCTCCTTCCATAAAAAGGGAATAATAAGCGTGCCTATCTTAGTAGGGTTGTTTGGACAACTACAGTGCTTAGATCAGAGCCTGGCACATAGCGAATGCTTAAGGAATGTCGACTCTGACTATCTTAGGATGCTACAACTCCAGAATCTTCTGTATGTGAAATGAGGAGGAACTCCGATGGTTCCAGTCCTCTGTGTGGTGGATGAGGAAGAAAGGAGGAACAAATGAGGGTTCCTGGGATGCTCAGATTCTGGACCTTCATGCTCTGCTTGACTCAGTGGGTCTAAGGGACAGGGAGACCCACCAGGCGGGTGCCCCAGCCCCTCCTGCTACGGGCATCCAGTAGGGGGTTGTGTCCCCATCCTGGTTAGACAGGGATGCTCACGAGGGTGGGACCATGCTTCCCACAGCGGGGCTTCATGCTCAGGAACTGTCCCCACCCACAGCTGTCCCCCAAACCTGTTACCTCTCCTAAGCAAGCTGGGTATGGGCCAAGTTTTTAAAAGCTAGTTGCAGAGTAATAAGTACAATATGGTCCAATTTTACGAGGAGGAAAGGAAATCCTAAATATCTGTATGTGTATCCACATGTTTCCACATAGAGTAGAGAAGAAAGACCCACCAAACTGTCAGGATTACTTGGAAGAATGGGATGGGAGTGGGTGGTAGGCAGACAATATTTCATCATTGGAAATCTTACAGTAAGTATTACTTTTGAATTTTAAAAACCAATATGGTATTTTAAAAAGATAGACACTAAAAAGGCTTATGGCAAGAATCGGGGTTTATTTTTTTAATTTTAGAAAATTATTTATTTAAATGAACCTGAAACCCCAGGAGTTTTCTTTATTATGTTGGGAGACCCTGCAAAAAGATCAACTAAAAGTGTTGCTGACAAAGAAATGAAAGCCAGAGTAGACTCATGTATTGGAACTTCAGGCTGTAGGGTTTCTCTGAGAGTAAAAAATTCTCCCAATGGTAGCGATCAGATTTGTGGAACTTAGAACATTTTTGCGGTTGTTAAAATATTTCTTGGGGGGGCGCCTGGGTGGCGCAGTCGGTTAAGCGTCCGACTTCAGCCAGGTCACCATCTCGCGGTCCGTGAGTTCGAGCCCCGCGTCGGGCTCTGGGCTGATGGCTCAGAGCCTGGAGCCTGTTTCCGATTCTGTGTCTCCCTCTCTCTCTGCCCCTCTTCCGTTCATGCTCTGTCTCTCTCTGTCCCAAAAATAAATAAACGTTGATTTAAAAAAATAAAATAAAATATTTCTTGGGAAGACAATGTTTCATAGAATGAGATGTAAAAATATATATATTTATGAACTTATGCACACATATATGCTAAAACAAAAAAGAGCTTATCATTGGTTAGTAAAATAGCTTTAAAATACATGTATATGGTACAATATAACTAGGAAACTGGCTTTAGAGTAAAAAATTAAAAACAGGTGACAAAGGGGTGCACATAACATCCGGCTCCAATTCTAGATCCTGAGCCACCAATTCCAGTGGTGGCCTGACCTGGAGAAAACCTAAGACCCAAATCTTGCCCTCGGGGTCAGACATCAAGTTAAAGAGCTCTTGAAACATAGGCTTTCTCTGTTCTCTTCCCAGAACTTCGAGCAAAGGGCTCAGTAATTGTTGGAAGTTCTAAAACTGTCTACCTGTGAAGGAACCAGGAAAAAGGGGTGGAAAAAAACCACATGTGATGGGAGAATGGACGTATGGGCATCAAAGGCAGATGAAATGCACCCTCTCACCAGTTCGCTTCCTTTCCAAAAGTATCAAGGCATTAATTTCTTGAATTCCAGAATCAGAGAGATCTCGTTCGCCAGTGGCAAGCGATGTAAAACCTCTCTAGGCTTCGGTTTCTTCATCTGTAAAATGGGGATTATAATACTATCTACTTCATGGGCTTGTTGTGAGGATAAGGTGAGATAATAAATGTAAAGAGACTAGCCTGATACCTGGCATGTCACAAACACATAGTTAGCTACTATCCTTGGTGCCATTACCACAACCACCGCCAGGATCAACTCTCGTCTCTTAAGAAATGTCGAAAGCATGAGATGTCAAGCAACTAGGGAAAATAAAAGTCGTTCATTACTTTGGAGCTCTGTTAACATACCATAGCAAAAAGAAACCTGTCACAGGGTGAAAGAGGTGATGGGGATTAAAGATTACATTTATCATGGTGAGCACTGAGTAATGTATAGAATTGTAGAAGCACTATTTGTACCCCTGAAACTAATATAACACTGTATGTTAACTGTACTGGAATTAAAATAAAAAACGATTTTAAAAAACCCTGTAATATACCCAGTTACAACCTGTGACACTGGGAATCGTTCATCGCCAATGATTCTCGATTGTTTACTTCAACTGGCATATGCGTATATAACATATTCAGCCCGTCCTCGAATTTGTCACTGCCAAAATAATCTTAACTTTTCTGGGTGTAACTTCAAGGCTGAAACCCACATCTGTTTCTATGTATGGAGAGCACCTGTGTTGTTGTGCAACAAGAAACCTATAATACATAATTTAGGAAATATTTTTAAAGTCAAATTCAGCCTTCCTAATTAATATGGTGACAATGTTTTTTCAATTACACATAGATTATGGTTCAAGTTGTGATATCTTCAACCATAATGTAGAATAATGGAGCTGGAAAGGTCCTAGAGAGAGCTTGGAGGCATTCTACCCCAAACTTCCCATTTTACATATGAGAAACGTACGGCCAAGGAAGGAGAAATTATTCATTTGTCCAAAGTCATAAAATACATTAGTGGAAAAGACAATGAATGGCCGCTGGGCTTCAGCCCATCCCAACCACTGCTTTCTAGACTGAGTATCAGGCTCAGAGGATGAAGGGAGAGCCTACCCTGCCATCATCCCCTGGCTTCCCAATGCCATTGCCCTTGGGCCTGGCCCTCTGAGGCCTTGTACCAGTCCCTTTAGGCCCCAGCTCACGTGGTGAAGGGCCCATAAGCCAGGCCCTGTTGGTCCCGGTGCTCCTTCCATAGTTCCATGTCGTTCCGTACTGGGTACTTGTTCTCTTGCCGCATCACTTGCTCCAGGAGTGGGGCACTGGCCAGGTTCACATGCATCTGAGGCCCTAGGCGGGTTACCCACATTGGACCATACTTGGTCTTGTTCAGCATCTGTGGGGGTCAATGAAAGCTGAATAACCATGGCCCATCCAGGTAGGCATTTACTAGAGAGGAGATGGGATGGGGGAGTATCTGATAATAACACCAGAGCAAGTGGGATGGACGAAAGCAAATTTTAAAGGAGGTAGGCACTAGGATGGCCTGTGGTTCTGAAACTGGGAAAAAAATGAGCACACAGGAGTTAGAATATTCAGAGCAATGAGTATCTGGCAGAACTGGGAGAATTGAGGTCCTTGGAGAAGCGAGATTTTAGAAACATGGGATGTGGTAAACGGGGGTATGTTTTGAGGTATAAACATATGGGGTCCAAGGTTTTAGAGAAACTGAACCCTTTAGTGAGGTATAATAGAATACTTATGGCTTCTGGCTTCTTCAAAGAAGCATTTAAATCTACTGCAGCTTGCTTTCAATGAGATAAAGATAAAGACCTCATGTATTCAGTGAGAAAAAAGAAACACAGTAGAAACTCCAGGAAAAACAAGAAGCTGAGAAAGAAAGTCAAGATTAAAATATGAAGTAAGGTATGTGGTATGAATTTATTTTTAACAAAAAAGTTATTAGCTGCTCAGTAAAATAATGATCAACTATTTTATCTTAGAATTTCTAAAGCACTTGACAATCGATACCCATTACATCTGTGAAACTGGCATTGGTGTAATGTTTTTATAGGTGCCGGAAATGAGGGGGAAATAAGTATACTTCGAGTTTTGGAGGTAAAACTTAAAAAGAATCCACAAACACTGACACTAAATTTACTGGCTAAGTTAACACCCACAAACTTAAAGAATTTGAAACATAGTGGTTTCTTACTGTTTTACTATTGGTGTTAAAAACTAGATTCTCCTAGGACCAATGCGACCTAATTGCCCTCAATATATTACCCAGTTGCCCAGAATCCACCCCGAACTAACAGCTGATTCTGTCAGTTCCTAGGAATACAGCCTTGACAACCCCCGCCGACATCTGTTTAGTTTTGTTTCCACTTTCACTTCCCAGTAATGCCTACCAGCGTGGTATGATTTTGAACAGATGATTGTGTGTAAACTACAGGGATTCCTGGAGAGAAACAGGCATATTTGTACATTGCTGGTGGGAGTCTAAAATTACACAAACCTACATGGAGGACAATTTGCTAACATTTATAGAAATTACAAATACATTTATAAACAAAGTATGGGAAGTCTACATAATGGAATACTATGTCACCTTAAAAAAGGATGAATCAGCTCCTTGTGTAGTAATATGAAAAGTTGGATTGTAATACAGAAATATACATAACCAAGGTAGATTGTTAAATGGAAAAGAAATATACATAACCAAAGTAGATTGTTAAATGGAAAAGTATGATATCTTCTGTCTAAGAAAGGGGGGCTAAATTAGAATATACAGCATTTGCACTTGCTTTTATAAAGAAATATTGGGTCACATCAGAAACTAATTAAAGTGACTACCAATGGGGCAGGTGGAGGGGACAGCAGTGAGAGGCAAGATTGCACAATGTATATCCTGTCATATCGTTTTGAGCTTTGAACTATGAGAATGAATTCAAAATTTTGATTTTTTTTTTTATTTTAGAGAGAGAAAGAAAGAAAGCGTGAGTGGGGGAGAGAGGCAGAGGGAGAGAGAGAATCTTGAGCAAGCTCCACAGTGTGGGGCCTGACTCAGGGCTCAAACACATGACTCTGGTATCATGAGCCAAAATCAAGAGTTGGACATTCAACCAACTGAGCCACCCAGGTACCCTATGAATTCAAGTATTTTTAATCTAAAGGGAAAAAAAGAAAGTGTCTTGCAAAACAATTAGTCATCTGCCACTGATCAGGTAATTCCAGAAAGCGGGAAAGGCTGATCAAACCTCTCAATTCATGTATATACTCCTTAGATTTATAAGGTTCCATTTTGTAAAAGTACTTATATGTCTGTTTTTCTCTACTGAATTCTTTAGGAGAATTATCTTAAACGTAAGTTTTAATTTGTGATTCCAGTTGGTTTATTTAAGATATTAATGACAGAGGTGCCTGGGTGGCTCAGTCGGTTAAGCATCCAATTCTTGATCTTGGCTCAGGTCATGATCTCATGGTTCATGAGATCGAGCCCTGTGACGGGGCTCTGCACGGACAGCACGGAGACTGCTTGGGATTCTCACTCTCCCTCTTTCTCTGCCCTTCCCCCACTTGTGCACACACTTTCTCTCTCTCTCTCAAAAATAAACTTTAAAAAAGATATTAATCACATAATAATAATGATAATAATAGTAAATATTTCCATGGAGCTTAGCATAAAACAGACGCTATTCCAAACACTTACGCTAGAAATTCAGTCCTCACTACCGCTGTATGAGGGGGGTGTAACATTACCACAATTTCATAAAAGAGGAAACTTAGGCCCAAAGAGGTTGCCCAAGGTCACTTTACTGGGAAGTAGAAGAGTCTGAATTCAAACTCAGACCACCTAGATGGTTCTCAACCACTTGCTCCATCGAACTACAAACAAACTTAGGCCCTTTAAAAATACATACTATTGGGGCACCTGGGTGGCGCAGTCAGTTAAGCGTTAGATTTTGGCTCAGGTCATGATTTCATAGTTTGTGGGTTCGAGACCTGTGTGCTGACAGCTCAGAGCCTGGTACCTGCTTCGGATTCTGTGTCTCCCTCTCTCTCTGCTGCTCCACCTGTGCGCTCTCTCTCTCTCTCTCTCAATAAATAAATAAATAAATAAATAAATAAATAAATAACAAATAAACAAACATTAAAATTTTTTAATAAAAAATAATAAGTAAAAATATATACTATTTAAAACCAACGTAACTATGCAATAAACCAGGGTTCCTCACGGCACTATTGACATTTGGGGCTGGATGATTCTTTGTTGTGGTGGACTGTCCTGTGCATTTTAGGATGTTTAGCATTATCCTTGGCTTTCACCCACTAGCATCTCCCTGCCCTCAAAGCTGTAACAACCAAAAACATCTCCAGACATTGCCAAAATGTCCCCAGGGAGGCAAAATCACCCCAGGTCGAAAACCTCCACAATAACCCCAACCTTGTTGTTGTTGTTGTTGTTGTTGTTGGTCGAAAACCTCCACAATAACCCCAACCTTGTTGTTGTTGTTGTTGTTGTTGTTGTTGTTGTTGTTGTTGTTTTGTTTTGTAACCCCAACCTTTTAATATGAGTCTTAATGCTTTAATTTTAGAGGACTCTTCTTAAGAAACAATACCTCATTTTGAAGAAATACTTATCTACAGTTTGGGTTTTTTCTCTTTGTGTTAAGTTCAAATACAATTACATGTTACAGTTTTATAAAAATGCAAATAGAGGTGGGGCGCCTGGATGGCTCAGTCAGTTAAGCATCCAACTCTTAGTTTTGGCTCAGGTCATGATCTCCCCAGTTTTTGAGTTCAAGCCCCACATGGGGCTCTGCAGTGACAGTGTGGAGCCTGTCTGGGATTTTCTCTCTCTCCCTCTTTCTTTGTCCTTCCTCTGTGCTCTTTCTCTCTCTCTCTCTCTCTCAAAATAAATAAATAAATAAATAGATAGATAGATAGATAAATAAACATTTTTTTAAAATGCAGATACTGGTAATCTCTGAGTCATGGTTTATAGATAGGTTACTTTCTTCTTTATACTGTGATTTTTTTTTTTCCAGATTTTCTACCATGATCTTAGAATCAGAAAAAAAAAAAAGTCATATTTTAGAAGACTAGATCAACAACCATTTACTTGGGGACCAGCTTCTTCTCTGGAATCCAAAGCCTCTGGCACCTCTTCCTGGCTGTCAGCTTGGAAGTTTCTGAGGCATTTCCCCCTTTGCATAGGCCATGCTTTCTTTCCTCTTCCTTCATATTCCTCTTCTCAGTTTACTCGGTGGAACTGAACAAGGATCTATTTATGTAGGAACTTATTTTAGAAAGACACCATAATACTTGCTGAAAGAGTGTGCTATGTCTGTGAACCTACCATTAGGCCGTAACCTGAGCCAGTTAGAGAGCCCCAACGTTCTCAGATAGATCCTGTCCAAGTGCCACTTTGCAGAACAGAGTCCCCTAGGGATCATCTTCCAGGATGAATGGGAGGGGTAGCTTCCACCAAGTGAGACTCCAAAGGGGGGAGTGATGAATTCACTCAACATTTATTTATTGAGTCATATCCTGTTCCTCCTATACTTATCTAGGGCCTGGGGATACAGCTGTGTGCACAGCAGGAACAGCTACCCTTAGAGAGTTTACATCTCAGTGTATGAGCCACACAGTTGAGAATTTGATTACATATGCTTATAAGTTGCTCCCTAGTTAAGTCTTGTCTCTTCAACTAAATTGAAAATCTTCTAGGTCAGGAATGATGTCATACTTCTTATAATTGCAGTCTTCTTTTTTTTTTTTTTAACATTTATTCATTTTTGAAAAGCAGAGAGAGACAGAGCATAAACGGGGGAGGGCTAGAGAGAGAGGGAGACACAGAATCTGAAACAGGCTCCAGGCTCTGAGCTGTCAGCACAGAGCCTGGTGCGGGGCTCGAACTCACGGACCGTGAGATCGTGACCTGAGCTGAAGTCAGCCGCTTAACAGACTGAGCCACCCAGGCGCCCCCATACTTCTTAACTACCTCCCATGTTGCCTTGGCATACCACTACACACATTTTAGACAATATTTAGCAGATGTCAATGAATCAGGTGGAGAAAAAAGTTGCAGACAACACGAAGAATATGAGAGACAAACAGTGACAGACAGAAGCGAGGCGGAGAAGGAGATTCACAAGAAACCAGTAACAGTGGCTCCAAAGGAGTGGGAATTAGTTGTAAAAGCCTGGAAAAATAATCCAAAAAGGAAATTAAGAAAATAATCCCATTTAGAATTGGATCTGTTTTGGACTGAATGTTTGTGTTTCCCCAAAATTCATATGAAGCCCTAGTCCCCCAGTGTGGCTGTATTTAGAGATGGGGCCTCTAAGGAAGTAAGTAAGACTAAATGAGTAATTAAGATTAAATAAGAGTGAGTCCCTGATCCAATAGGATTAGTGTCCTCATAAGAAGAGACATCAGAGAGCATTCTCTCTCTCTCTCTCTGCAAGTACACACCAAGAAAAGGCCATGCGAGGACACAGGGAAAAGGTGGCTGTCTACAAGCCAGGAAGAAAGCTGTCACCAGAAATCAACCTACTGGCACCCTGATCTCAGACTTCCAGCCTCCAGAAGTTAAAGACAATAAATTTATATTGTTTAAGACAGCCAGTCTGTCATATTTTGTTACAGCAGCCAGAGAAAACTAATACAAGCATCTAAAAGAATAGAATACTCAAAAATAAATATAGCCAAGGAAGTGAAACACTTGTACATTGAAAACTACAAAACATTGCTGAAGGAAACCAAAGAACTAAATAAATGGAAAGATAGCCCATGTTCATGGATATGGAGATTTAATATTGTTAAAATGGCAGTAATCCCCAAAGTGGTCTACAGATGCAATCCAATCTTCACCAAAATGCCAATGACCTTTTCTGCAGAAATGGAAAAAATCAATCCTCAAATTCATACGGAACTGCAAAAGGCCCTGAATAGCCAAAAATATTGAAAAAGAAAAACAAAGTTGGAAGAGTTATACTTCCTAATTTTGAAACTTACTACAAAACTACAATAATCAAAACACTGTGGCAGTAGCATAAGGATACATACATATTTAGGCCAATGGACAAGAATTGAGAGTCCACCATCTATGGTGAATTGATTTTTGTAAAGAGTGCCAAGACCATTCAATGTGGGGAAAGAACAGTCTCATCGACAAATGATGCTGGAACGACTAGATATCCAAGTGCAAAAGAATTATGTTGGACTCCTACCTCACTCCATATACAAAAATTAACTCAAAATGGATCAGCAACCTAAATACAAGACCTAAAACCATAAAACTCTTAGAACAAAACATAGAGGCAAATCTTCATGACCTTGGATTTGGCAATGGATTCTTAAATTTGACACTAAAAGCATGAACAATAAAAGAAAAAATAAATAAGACTTCATAAAAAATTTAAAATCTTGTACATCATAGGATATTACCGAGAACGTGAAAAGACAATCTATAGAATGGGAGAAAATATTTGCAAATCATACATCTGATGAGAGTTTAATATCCAGAATATATAAGAGGTCTTAAAAAACTCAACAACAAGAAGGCAGCTCAGTTTTAAAATGGTCAAAGGACTTAACATTTCTCCAAAGGAGAATACAAGTGGCCAATAAGCACATGAAAAGATGTTCAACATCATTGGTCATCAAGGAAATGCAAATCAACACCACAATCAGATACCATTTCATACCCAGTAGGATGGCCTTAATCCAAAAAACAGAAAATAACAAGTTGTTGGTAAGCATGTGGAGAAACTGAAACCCTTGTACATTGCTGATGGAATTATAAAAATAGTACAGATGCTACAGAAAACCATTTGGCAGGTCCCCAAAAAATTAAACACTGAATTACCATATGATTCAGCAATTCCACTACTAAGTGTATGCCCAAGAGAAATGAAAACATGCCACACAGAAACTTTTACACTAATATTTATAGCAGCATTATTCATAATAACTGAAAGGTGCAAACAACCCAAATGTCATCAATTGATGAACAGATAAGCAAATTGTGGTCTACACATGAAATGGAATATTATTCATCCATAAAAAGGAACAAAGTATGATACATGCTATAACTTGGATGAACCTTAAAAACATGTGCTAAGTCAAAGAAGCCAGACACAAAAGGTCATATACTGTATGGTCCTTTTTATATGATTTATCTGGATAGGCAAATCCATAGAGACAGAAAGCAGATTAACAATTACTGAGGGGCAGCAGGACAGAGCAAAAAGGAGAGATTAACTGGTGACAGGGTGTTTTTCTAGGGTATTGAAAAAGTTTTGAGGGGCGCCTGGGTGGCGCAGTCGGTTAAGCGTCCGACTTCAGCCAGGTCACGATCTCGCGGTCCGTGAGTTCGAGCCCCGCGTCGGGCTCTGGGCTGACGGCTCGGAGCCTGGAGCCTGTTTCCGATTCTGTGTCTCCCTCTCTCTCTGCCCCTCGCCCGTTCATGCTCTGTCTCTCTCTGTCCCAAAAATAAATAAACGTTGAAAAAAAAAAAAAAAGAAAAAGTTTTGAAATTAGAATTAGTGATTTCATAACATTCAAAATACACTAAATGCCACTGAATGGTACACTTTAAAATGATGAATTGTATTATGTGAATTCCCTCCCCCCACCAAAAAAAAAAAAAAAAAAAGCCTAGAAGTTTCTGGTATTTAAAACCTCCAGAGCCTCAGCGAGAACCTGATGTGAACAAAAAATAGCCCCTCAGAAAAGAAAGAACGGAAAGAGGCTGAGGAATGTCCACTTGAGTCAGTTCTTTGGTTCCAAAATTTTTCTCAACTGTAGATCAAGGAGGAAAGAGAACCAGACCAACCTTTCTTTTCCACTGTTAACTCCTAACCCAGGACTAGGGATCAAGCTTTGAGGGGTATTTGCTGGTCTGTTTAACTGTTCAGGGAAGAACACAGGGGCAGTCTCTGAGAATGCCCTCTGTTATGCAAAACTACTGTGTTCACAACTTTCTTAGAGGGCAATTTGGCAGGCAATACATGTCAAAGCCCAGAACAAAATCTTTTACCCAATAATTCCATTTTAGGGGTTTATTCTAAAGATGGGCATGATATTTAGTGATAGATATATCAAAGCTTTTACACATAAAAAAATCTAAATATATAACAATAAAGTTCAGCAAATTCTGGTGAAGCCATACAAAAGAACACTAGTCAGCCATTTAAAACTGCTATAGGTGTACTTGTTGATATAGAAAGGTATGCATATTTATTAATTAATTTATTTTCAAATACTTGAGTGGTTTTTTGTTTAATGTTTATTTATTTTTGAGAGAGACAGAGAGGCAGAGCTCAAGCAGGGGAGGGGCAGAGGGAGAGGGAGACACAGAATCTGAAGCAGGCTCCAGGTTCTGAGCTGTCAGCACTGAGCCCGACGCGGAGCTCGAACTCATGAACCATGAGATCATGACCTGAACAGAAGTTAGACGCTTAACTGACTGAGCCACCCGGGCACCCCCATTTGTTTATTTTTTTAAGTTTATTTATTTATTTTATTTTTGAGAGAGAGAGAGAGAAGTTGGTTCTCATGAACTGTGAGATCATGACCTGAGCCAAAATCAAGAGTCGGACACTTAACTGACTGAGCCACCCAGGGACCCTAAAAGGTATGCACATTTATTTTTAATAAAGGGCAGCTACAAAAGAGTATATGGTATAGTTTCATTAAAAAATATATATATATACACACATATATATGCATATATATACGTATACATACATACATATACTGATGACACATGGAGGAAAATGTAGAAACCTATTCACCAAGGATTAGCAAACAAGGATAATGCTTACTTACCACTAAGATTATGTGTGTATTTATGTACTTGTTTCACAAATGTTTATGAAGCACCTATGTGTACAAGGCACTGTGATATGTGCAGGGTTTGGGAATTATGGGAGATTTGGATTTTCTTCTTTTTGTGTCTGTATACTTTCTGATTTCTCTACAACAAACACATATTTATATATGCAGAATAATGTTTAATATTCTGCAAATTACTTCAGCCACACTGAAATGACATTTTCTCTTACAGGTGGTACGTAGTCAAAAACTATTAGCACATAACTCATATTTATGTGATTTTTCCAAAAAAACAAGAGAAATTTTTGCAGGAAAAAAGTGCCTGTTCATTGTCATGTGTTTTTATCTCATCCACAGCTGGCAGTATCAGTTGAAGGGTCAGGGACTGCTTGGCAGGAGATTTTGTTCTAGTTCCAGCCCCAACACTAATGGGCTTTGTCACTTTGTTGGGGGATAGCTCCACCATGGCACCCTCCCGACTGTGAGACTCTGCTTGTACTCATATACACGGAGGCTTGAACCCAGTCTTCTCTGAGTCTTCAGAGTTCAATGCCCTGTGACACCACCCACCCCAGGACATGAGAGGACAGAAATCCTACAAGGAGCCACCACAAAGCTACCTAGCACTTGACTCCCTGTGTCCCCTAGGAGGCTGTCAGGAGACCAACAGATTCTCCTCTGGGTTTAGATGAGGTGTGTGCTTTCTGCCCTATCCCCCTCAGAAAAGAGCTGCAGAATATAAAACCACCTAGCTGCAGTCTAGAAGGGGCACCTCAACACATCCCACAACTCACACTGCAATCATCCGGCCCCTTTTGTTTCGGGGCTGTCCTTTTGCATGTGTGGGACAGGGATCTCGGCGAGCTGGCACTTTTGGCTGATTCTTCTTTTCACTGTCTCTCTCTCTTTTTTTTAATGTTTATTTTAGAGAGAGAGAGACAGAGTGTGAGGGTGGAGGACAGAGAGAGACAGAGACACAGAATCCAAAGCGGGCTCCAGGCTCTGAGCTGTCAGCACAGAGCCCAACACGGGGCTTGAACTCACAAGCCATGAGATCATGACCCGAGCTGAAGTCCAACGTTTATCCAACTGAGCCACCCAGGCACCCTGTCCCTCTCTATGTAAGTAATAAACTGTTTAAATCTAAATGTGGCCCGCTGTATCTTTTCCAGAAAAATCTGTTATGTCTTGGCTTTGCCTTGTCTAACATGTGAACTTGATACTTTTGGTTCCCAATATGGTGCTGGTAAAGTTATAATGGCCTTTTAGAGAACTGGGACCACATGGTGAGGTTCAGAGATAAAGTAGAACCCATGATCTAGTAGCATGTGCTCTGACCTAAGTGTGTGTTGGGGGGCAGAGAAGGGTCCTCCCACCAGCGGATGGCATGGACCAAGCAGGGTAGGAGAGGTAAGGCAGGCAGGGCCGAGGAGCAGCGGTCTTCCCACAGTCCTATATCCAACTCTGTCAGTAAATGGCCACTGAAAATTGAAAGCAAATGCAAAGCTGTCTTTCCAGTGGAGGTGCCCCCCACCCCCATGCCGCCCCTTGTCCCCTGCCCCCTGGAATCCCTGACCTTCCAGCCACTACCCACCTCCTGAAGTGCCTGTGTTAAACCCTTTGGTCTGTGTTTCTGTAAAGTGTGGGACAGCAAAGACAAAACAAAAGGGAAAGTGATTCTGTGATTCTGAGTGAGAGACCCATGAGCCAACTCCTCCTACATACAAAATGTATGATGGGTTTCAAACTGTTTCACTGACAGCGTTCCTAGACTGTTAGGAAAATTCCTCTGAGGTCCAAACTTTTCATTGTATAACCATGTCTTGTTGGTTGGCAAGTTGAAGGTCCCAGTAGGAGTGATGAGTAAGATTCAGAGTCAGCTTGCCAAGTAGTTTTGGAAACAACGTTGGTAGGTGACAGGGTGTAATCCCCCTGGCAGTCAAAGAAAAAACTGCTGTCTTTTACCACCTAAAAAGCAGTATATTCCTGATATGAAAGTTGCACCTACAGAAGGAACCATACTATCAAGGGTGTCACCCCACTGCTCCTGACAGATTGACTACATGGGGTTTTTTAACTCTCTTCACCAAAGCTGATAAGGTCATGGCATCCTTTTAGGAAAAAGACCGTGAGACCCCACGGGCCAACTAGCAAAGTGTGCAATAGGATCCTGGTAGGCAGTAACAAGCCTGGTTGATGTATTTAGTGACAAGGGGACAGGAGTTCTTGACCATGGTCCCCGAGAGCCCTGATGAGTTGTGTTGGTTTTTATTTTATTTTATTTTACTTTATATTTTATTTTATTATTTTATTATTTTTAAATGTTTATTTATTTTTGAGAGAGAGCGTGCATAAGCAGGGGAGGGGCAGAGAGAGAGGGAGACACAGAATTTGAGATCATGACCGGAGCCAAAGTTGGATGCTTAACCGACTGAACCATCCAGGTGCCCCAAGTTGTGTTGGTTTTTCGAGAAAAAAGGGAGAGGGCCCCATAAAATGTTTAAAAACATTCCGTGGTTGTTCCTTACCCGTCTGTATTACTAAGGAAAGGAAAACTGTTTCCATTAGACAGGTGGCTGTGGCTACAGATAAAATACTCCCTGGTCATCAGTTCGTCAAAGATATACTGAATGTATTGTGGGAATAAATGTGTTAAATACATGTAATATTTCTCTAAACTGTAAGGGATGTTTTCGGTGGGGAAACACCATGATTAGAGCAGCAGTAGTGGGTTGAGTGGACCACCAGGAGTCCACCTTGTTCTCTGGGTTCAGTCACGCGGTATCAGTAAAGTAGTATGGGATTCCAAGGAAAGGGAAGGGGTGGAAAGGAAGATCACTGTCTTGATCAAAGAACTAGTACAGACAAACATGCTTAAGGAAACAATCCAGGGGTGTCTGGCTGGTTCAGTTGGAAGAGGTGCAACTTTGGGCGTAGAGATTACTAAGATAGATGGATAGATCGATAGATCGGTAGATAGATAGACAATCCAACAGTACAAACTGCTCTTCCACTGCGGCCAGTCAGCCCTCATGAGACATGTGAGCTACACGTGTCAGTGACTGACATTACACAGACTGAGACCAGTGGTAAAATTATGTGGCCACTGGGCAATGGTTCCTTAGGGTTTTGGACATGGCACTTGCCTGACCTCACCACCCAGAATACCCCAACTGAGAGACAATTACTGGCTTCATATTGAGCGCTAATGCACACTGAGACGGACACGGCAAAGTGCTGTTCTACCTGATGTCCCGTGGGAAACGAGAACATCAAGTGGGTACTGCCTGACAAGCATCCCTGATTATGTGGCTGCAGTACATCCAGAAAATAGCACACCAGCCATTAAGTGGTTAGTCGCCCTCTAGATGTGTTGACTCAGATGCAGGGTCTATGCCAACACCTCAGATTTCTTGGGGGCTTACCTTCAATGAAGTTACTGACAATGCCTGGGCCTGGTTCATGGATAGATCAGCTCAGTTGGGGGCCATGGGGTGTCCTGGGGAGATGCTGCCATATACCCCCCAAAGAAAATTGTCTAAAACTATGCATGGAAAGGAGAACGCTCGCTGTTGTGAGCTGTGCTACTTGCTCTGGAAAAGACCTCCCCAAATACACCCTGTTACATTTTCACTGACTCATGAGCATGTGGGCTGATGCCTGGCAGTGGAAGGCCTGGATGAACAAGTCTCAGCCTCTTTGGCAATGATCATCATGGCAGCAGATCACACAAGACCCATACCCTCTGTTCATGACCCGGAGGGATGCCCGTGGCAAAGGTTTCCTTGGATCAACATGGGTGAAATCAGCAAGCTGAGGAGACCTGTGATACAAATGTAAGGACCGTAGCCATCCAGACAGACTGCTGCACAGCGCATGGTACTCCATCCACGGGAGCCCCCAAACAAGGCACAGTGACCGCAGTATGTGAAGCCAAAGAAGGTGGCAAATATGCCCAGACCGCCAGCTAGACATTCCAGTGGTAAAAGAAATTTGGGGGCTCATAGTGAGGGGTACTGGACCTGGCCTGTCCTACCAAACAGACTATACAGGTCCCCTACCATCCTCTTGAGGGTACCATCGGACATCGATTGTAGCAGACACCTCTTCAATGTATGACACTACCGTCTCCATCTCCACAGCACGAGGGGCACACTATTCAAAGACCCTTCGATGGACAGTGCTATACATTTGGTTTCCCAAGGGCATCCATTCAAACAATGGTTCCCACTTGAAGTAAAAAGGACCCAGCAGTGGCAGCTGCGTGGAACATTCACTGAACCTTCCATGCCTCGTATCATCCCCAGGAAGACAGTGCCACTGAAACGTGGAGTGGACTCTTAAAGGAGAAACTGAAAAAGATAACTGGATAACCCAGCCTCAGCTCCCAGTGGATGACACACCTAAGAAAGTCAGTTTGGAATATCTATGTGACAATTCACCAGGAGGGTATCTGCCATTTCAACAGAATTCTTCATTGTGAGATTGGAGAGCCAGGAAGAGGCCCGAGATAGGCTGTAAGAGACCCGAGCCGCATAATTAACTCTTCTCATTCCCCCATTTTTCTTCCCACACCTACCCCCTTGGAAAACTAACAGCTACTTTGCAAGTAGCGAGAAGAGTCATGGAGTAAGCTATCCTAACCTGGTGCTTCTTTCGCCATCACTTCTGCTTGCCGCTCTTGGGCAGTAATAGATATGGACGGTAATGGCCACGAATATGAGGTTTCAGCTCCCAAGATGGCCCCGATGTGGGGATGGGAGATGTTCTAGAATGGTAGGAGGTATACAAGGAAGAAATCACTGAGGCACCTCAGGAGAGAGCAGGGCTCATGTGAGGGTTAGGACACACAGGAGGATTGGGACAAAAAAGTGAAGGGACTGCTAGGAGGTTGTCACATTGTACACATGGCTGTGGGGAGAGGAATACCTCTGGCTTGTGGGAGATAAGGGGTCATCCCCAGGAAGTTGGAGGTAGCAGGGAGGGACTATTAATCTCTCTCTCTCTCTCTCTCTCTCTCTCAGCCCCTATCTACAGACAAGGTGGCATCTAACTGACATGTGGCCAAGTTAACTCAGACCACCACCGCCCTCAACTTGACTGCTGGCCAAATAGAATCTCAATCTAAAAACTCTTAGAAACCTCCCTAGCAGTCGGTTAAGCGTCCGACTTCAGCCAGGTCACGATCTCGCAGTCCGTGAGTTCGAGCCCCGCATCAGGCTCTGGGCTGATGGCCCAGAGCCTGGAGCCTGTTTCCGATTCTGTGTCTCCCTCTCTCTCTGCTCCTCCCCCATTCATGCTCTGTCTCTCTCTGTCCCAAAAATAAAATAAACGTTGAAAAAAAAAATTTAAAAAAGAAACCTCCCAAGGGCCAGTGATTTCAGAAATGGTCAGCCTCCAATAAAGATAACAGGACAAGATTAACCTTCTGGACACTGATCTGGTCTCTTTAGCTTCATCCTGTTACTGTTGGCCTCTTGTTCATTTGTCACAGGCTGCTCCAAACCCTTCAGCACGGGTGGTAATAGGCAACCGTAATGCCCGGCACTTCCGCGGGGCTGGCTGAAGTGGGGTGTGCGTGGTTGCAACTCCGGTTGCCCTTGGATGGGGCGCCTGGCTGCAGTATATACTCCAAACAGGCCTAATCAACCTACAGGGAGTCACGGTTGTGGTGACTCTCATCCAATACTGCCAAAGACAGATTTGGTAGGCGCTCCCGTCAGTAGAACTGGAATATTTATCTGATGGGGTATTTACATCCCTGCAAATTCTGGGATATGTGAAGGGTCGGGGTTGAACGGTGGAGCAGCCCCGTACCTATCTATGCACACAGAGACTTGAGCCATAGCTTATAAGTTTTGGCAGAACACTTTGTCATCTTCCTGGGACATGGAAGAGCGTTCTGTGAGGAGTTGCAATAAGGCCCGCACCCACTCATCTCCCTATCTCACTAGGGAGGTTGTCATGAAACAATTTCTCATCACCTCCCAGGTTCCGATGAAGTGTGGGGTTTCTGCCCACCCCCACTCAGACAAGAGCTGCAGAACATAAAACCCTTTGGCTGCAGTCTAGAAGGAACGCCTCAGCAACGGGATACCCCATAACTCACGCTGCACTCATCTGGTGGGAAAAGTTTCAGTGTCGTCTTTTTGAATGTGCGGGACAAGGTTCCTGGGGAGCCGGCACCTTTGCCTTACTCTTCCTTTCACTATTTAGCAATAAAATGTCTAAATCTAACAGTGGCTTGTTGTATCTTTGCTGATTAAATCAGTCCAGCCTTGGCTTTGCCTTTTCTTGCTTGACATTTCCTCATCAGTCAAATAAGAGAATTCTATTAGTAGTTGATCTCAAAGAGGTGCCCTGTGGCTACACACATGTTAAGGTGAATAACCCAAGGCAGGCCATAATGGCAATTACCAATTCACAGATATAATGCCTAAAACGTACTAACCCACCTCAAGGCAAAGGCTGGTAACCTGGGGTGTGCAGACAGGCTCAGGGGTGGGGGATGGAAAACTGAAATTCTATGCAATATGCGGTAAACAGACTCGTTTTTTGTTGTTGCAAAGTGCCATAGCTTTCAGATGTTTAAAAGGTTGTGATAGAGATTCTCTCCTTACCAGATTCTGCTCAGGCTCTTCCCAGCCCTCTTCTTAACTGGGCCTTGGCTGGGGCCTAGAAAGACTTGAACTCATGGACATAGTTTCTAACAGCTCAGAGTAGCCTCCATAGGATGACCTTCATTCCGAGGACAAAGGCCCCTTAAAGTGCCGCCGTGAGGGGTGCCTGAGTGGCTCAGTCGGTGAAACGTCTGCTTTTGGCTCAGGTCACGATCTCACAGTTTGTGAGTTCCAGCCCTGCATCGGGCTCTGTACTGACAGCCCAGAGCTTGAAGCCTGCTCGGATTCTGTGTCTCCCTCTCTCTCTGTCCCTCCCCTGCTTGCACTCTAAAGAACTTCCTGTTTGTTCTGGCTGACACCTAAAGATAAGGTCCCTGTCCAGTCTCTGAGGAAGTATAGAAGTCCTGCTGAGAAGCACCAGTTAACTAACCATATGAGTTTCACATTGGACCAGCTGCCCCCCTTCCTGCCTTTTGTAATTTTTCATTTCCCTGACTCTGCTCAAGGGCCTGCCATCCTGCTCCCCACTCTCTCCCTCTTTTAAAAGACATAGTCACCCCTGCCCACACCAGAATGGAGTTTATCTCCTTCCCCTCCTGACAGCCACTACTGAATAAAACCTGTTTTCACCACTCTAACTCATGTCCGCTATGCTTACCTTTGACAGCTGTGGGCACCTTGAAAACTCGAAAGCAACACTGAGCCGAAAAGCAGAAACTACACAAACCTCCCTCAACCGAGGAGTAGAGGAACACATTGTGGCATATCCCCACCGTGGAATATCAGTCAGCCATAAAAAGGAACAAAGTACTGATGCTCACGTGCTACAACATGGATGAACCGTGAAGACGTCATGCTAACTGGAGGAAGCTTTTCACAGTAGAGCACGTATTCAATGAGCCCATTTATAGAAAGTATCCAGAACAGGCAAATCCACAGAGGAAGAGGACAGATTAATGGCTGCCAGGGGCTGATGAGGGAATGAGGCCCCGGCGGTGCTAAAGAGCACGAGGTTTCCTTCCGGGGCAACGAAAACATTTGAAAATTGATGTGGTAATGGTTGCACAAGTCTGCGAATATACTAAAAGCCGTTTAGTTGTTCATCAGGGTGGATTCTATGGCATGCGATTATATCTCAAAAAAGCTGTTATAAGAAAAAAAACAAAACAAAACACTAAAATCTCCCCTGGATGGGGCGCCTGGGTGGCGCAGTCGGTTGGGCGTCCGACTTCAGCCAGGTCACGATCTCGCGGTCCGTGAGTTCGAGCCCCGCGTCGGGCTCTGACTGATGGCTCAGAGCCTGGAGCCTGTTTCTGATTCTGTGTCTCCCTCTCTCTCTGCCCCTCCCCCGTTCATGCTCTGTCTCTCTCTGTCCCAAAGAAAATAAATAAACGTTGAAAAAAAAAATTAAAAAAATAAAAAATAAAAAAAATAAAATAAAATCTCCCCTGGAAAAAAGTGATACCGCATTGCAAGGTTCTGTTTTCCTACTTAGTGGCCTGTTTAGTTTAGTGACTGGTAGACTCCTTAGGGAGGCTCTCAGCAAGGCAAAAACTAAAAACAAAAAACAAAACAAACAAAAAATACAACAAACACTCAAACAGCAAGTAAATAGCGCCAAGGACAAAAGTAAACTCACAAACCTCACGTACTGTTTTGCCAGTGTCACTAAACCTGCCCCTAAAAGTTGGCAGGCCATCAGTTGGATAAACAGAGGGAGAGAGGTAACTCTAGGCACGGGCCACTCCTTTGCCTACACTGGCAGATGGTCAGAAAGAAGGCCCACTCAGGGTCAAAGGTGAAGAGGAACCCTGCTGGGACCGTCATGTCTCAGTGCTGTCAAAGCCTCATGGAGAATTTAGCCCCAACCCCCTCACACAAGTGGAATTCACATTTCCGGGAGACAGAAGGTGCTAAATAATTAACAGCATTCCCAGGTTCTCCTAGCTCTCAACCTTGCCTTGAATGATCTCCTCCAAGATCAGACCAGCCCAGGGGCACTATTTGGACTTAGGGTGAGCAGGATTACTTTATTTGTTATTATGAATATTTTAATGTGGAGAGTTAAAGAAAATAACATTATAAATGCACATGCACCCACGCACTCAAATGAAGAGAACTGTTAATATTTGTCATATTTGCTTCAAATCTTTTTCCAAAAGGAAAATATTTCCAAGTTCCCTTCTTGTCCTTCCCTTTGCCCTCCCTCCCCAGGACAACCACTATCCTGAATCGGAAATGTATCCTTTCTGTCAACGTTTATATAATTTTATTGTATATATAGGTGTCCAGTGATAGCTTATAGTATTTTTGTGTGGTTTTTAATTTACAGAAATAGTATTCTACTGTACCTATCATTCTATACTCAACCTTGCTGTTTTGGGACTTTTGGTTTTTTGTTTATTTTTTAAGTAGGCTTCATGCCCAGTGCAGAGCCCAAGGCGGGGCTCGAACTCACGATCCTGAGACCAAGACCTGAGCTGAGATTAAGAATCAGACACTTAACCGACTGAGCCACCCAGGTGTCCTTCAACCTTGTTTTTGAGTTCTTTATTGATACATTAAGAGCTTGTGCATTTATTATGACTGTTGTATATTGTTCCATTGTATGACTATATCACAATTTATTTATCCTGCTTATGGGTATTTAACAGGTTTCTGAATTTTTGATTTTACAAACAAAGCCGCAAAAAAAATGTTGTGCATGCGTGTAGCCCTTACTTCAATCATCATAAAAATGTCTGGTTTTATGCAAGAAGACAGAACTGTCATAAGTTACTAAGACATGTACCAGACCATAGGACAGTAAGAATTTCCCTCTGATTTTGCACTCGTAGAGAAACAACGGGCTGAGGATACAGGGTGATCCATGAAAAAGCATTGCCTGGGACACCCTCAGAGAGGCCGTCAGGGAAATAGATACACTGCTCACCCCCCACTTACACCCCTCACACACCCAGAGGAAAACCGCAGTATGTTGAGGGCACTCTGCCCACAAACTGGACGAGTCTTAGGTGAAACAATGAGGGCGTTCAAAGAACAAGGACTGCACGATCAGCAGGTGACGCAGAACTAGAAAGAAGATGTAGGCAGACAGGTGGAAATCGAAAGCAAGGACCCAGAACCAAACAAGGGTACAAGAGAAAAGGCCATTGGAAGACCTCAAAATATCATGCGAGACCAGGAAGCACTTGGTCAGCCTTGCATTTATCTCCTGCTTTCCATTCTTTGGCTCTCGTGGTTTTTAAAAAAAAATTAATAGGTAATACACACATGCACACTGTTAAAATTCAAAACAGTGAAAAAGTAAACAAAAGGACCCAAAAGTTGGCAAACTGTGCCTGGGCAGGGTGATGCCAGAGAAAACCTGGTGGAGGTCCAGAGCAGTCCTGCAATAAAAGATAAGACTTCCTCCTAACTCTCATCTTCAGACGCCAAGAAACCATCACACAGAGGCAATCATTATTGCCGATTCCTTGTGTGTCCTCCCAGAGATATTTCATGCACCTACTAAACACATATATGCATGTATATCTCACATTCCCCCTTCATCCACAGATGATGGCATATAATACCATTTTGGGTCTCACTTTCTTCCCATCTCTTAGCAAGCAATTACATTAATACCCATAGAGCTGTCCCTGTTCTTTTTGGTGGTTGCATAAATTCCACCAGATGAAGACACTATAATCAATTAGACCCTTAACGGGACATGTAAGTCATTCTAATCTTTCCCAATCATAAATCCTGCTACTTTGAATATTCGGTACTCTCTTTGACCACAGAATTTTATCTGTAAGATAAAAATTCTAACAGTGCAGTTGCTAAGGTGGTATGATTCACACTTTTGACCTTAATACCCGGTTTCAGTTCCCAACCCTGAGGCTTAAAGGCAGTACATCCAATTTTGCCATAGTCTCAAGGACTACGATAATGTCTTCCAGATGAGACTGAAAGCCAAAAAAAGGTAACTAGAGGACAATCTCCGAAGGGCTGGATGGTAACATGAGTACTGGGACAGAAAATCCATCTAATCAATGGCATTAGCCAAACTGAAGAAAGAATGTGTTAACAGAATGGGAGGGGTCGTTACAAAACCCAGAAGAGGGAAGTCAAACAGCGAGAATTTGGCAGCATTTATCTTTCAAGAGAGAGATACTTAATCTAATGGACAGGCACCAGAGAAGCACATTCAACCAGGTTTCTCCAAGGCCTAGATGAAATTTCCTTCCGTACAATTCCACTCCTTTAGTTCTGGGGTCTCTGCATACCAAGCAGTCCACTAATGTAGGTACTACTTTTTCTCCCTAGGTACCTGGATCCTAGGAAGAGCGGGCAGTGGATTAAAAACGGCCACAGATTCTTTGACATCCTTCCCATTAAGAGGTGAGGTCTACATCTTCTCCTCTAGAATCTAGGTGGGCTCTGTACCTGCTCTGATGGGTAGAATACAGTAGAAATGATGCTGCTCCGGGTTTCAGGCCCAGGCCTTAAGAAACCGGCAACTCCCACTTTCTTTCCCTTGGAACATTCACTTTGGGGAAAGCCAGGGCCCCATAAGAAGTCTGATCATCCAGAGACCACCTTGGTGTAAGGAAGCCCAAACTAGCCACATGGAAAGAGAGAGAGATGCTTAGCTGATCTGGTCAAACCAGGCCAGGCACCAAACATGCAACTGAAGAAGCCATCTTGGAAATTCCAGTCCCAGGAGATGTGACATGGGGAAACACTGAGGAAGCCATGGAAACAAATTTAGCTTCTGAACAGAAACATGGCCCCACTCGAGCCATCCCAGCCATATCCAGCCATTCAAACTGAAGCCCTGCTCCCTTGGGAAGCTGAGATAAGTCACTTCTGATGTGCACTGCCCAAATTCCTGACCCACAAAATCATGAGTGTACCAAAATGTTGTTTTAAGCCATTATATTTTGGGATAGCTTGTTATGCAGCAATAGATCATTAGAATAGGGGGTTTCTATGTGATGGAGTATTATGATTCCCGAGAGGGCTGACTTCTTCAGTAAATAAACCGTGGGCACTCCAGTCCACAATTTGTTTCTGTGGGTTTGGCCAATGTTGGTCAGTCCCTAATAGTCTGCCCATGTTCAATTTGCTGATAAAATATAGTTTCTGAACTCGAAAAGTTGAGACCTGAATGGTGAGGCTTACTCAGTCTGCCCACCGCCCTTACTGTCTTTTCACTCGATCTTATGTCAAACAACCCAGACCAAAGAGCTAAGGAGAGTCTCACAAAGTTTACCACCTGATGGAACCACTGCTTGGTACCACTCACAGCCCTTTGGCTGGTACATGACATTTATTTATTTATTTATTTTTTTATCAAACATTACTAAGAACCTTCCCTGTACCAAGGACTGTATCTGACACTGGAGGGCACGGAGGTGGGAAAGACACAGGCCCAGCCCTCAGAACTTACCAGCCCAGCCTCTAAGCCATATAAACAGGTGATGGCATGAAACATGTGCCATCTAAATATATAAAGCAAATATTAACAGATCTAAAGGGAGAACCAGGGAGCAATACAGTAACAGTAGTGGAAATTGATACCCCACTTTCATCAATGGACAGACCACCGAGACAGAAAATCAATAAGGAAATATTGGCCTTAAGTGACACAATAGACCGGATGGACTTAAGAGATATATACAGAACATTCCATCCAAATGCAGCAGGATACACATTCTTCTCAAGTGAACATGAAACATTCTCCAGGCTAGATCACATGATAGGCCACAAAACAAGTCTTAACAAATTTAAGAAGAGTAAAATCGTATGGAGGATCTTTTCTCACCACAGTGGTATGAAACTAGAAATCAATTACAAAAAAAGAAAAACCTGGAAAATTCATAAATATGTGGAGATTAAACAACATGCTACTGAATAATCGTGGGTCAAAGAAGAGATCAGAAGAGAAAATCAAAAAAATATCTAAAGACAAATGAAAATGGAAAATACAACATATCAAAACGGAAAGGGAGAAGGGGTGCCTGGGAAAAGGAGGCTGGGGCCTTGAACATCCCTGTGAGGAGTTCAATGCTGATTCCCCAGGTCCTGTGGAGATTCCTGAGCAGGGGAACCAAACATGCTTTAGGGACACTGACGCAGCAGCGGTACATGCATAAGACTGAGCTGAAAAAACACCAAGCAGGAGGGGGCGCCCAGACACCATCCCTTCCCACAGTCGCCATGGGGCTGTTCATGCTGCCAGCCAAGCCACAGCCAAGCAGGGAGGCTGACCTGGTGCCGGAGCTGCCAGAGCTGGAAACGATATGTCTTCTGCATTGGGCAGAACAAAGCCTGCCACGTTCAGAAGGTCCCAGGTCATCTGGCCTTTGATGCTGATATCAGTGGAGAGCGGGATTGCAGGCTTCAGGGAAAGGGCGGGGGGGGGGGGGGGGGAAGAGTGGTAAAAGCCATAATTTATGGAGTGCAGCAAAAGTAATTCTAAGAGAGAAGTTCGGAGTGATAAATGCCTACATTATGAAACAAGAAAGATCTCAGGTAAGCAACCTAACTTTACACCTCAAGAAACTAGGAAAGGAATAACAAACTAACCCCAAAGTTAATAGAAAGGAGAAAATAACAAAGATCAGGGTGGAAATAAATAGAAACTAAAAAGGCAATAGAAAATATCCATGAAAACAATCTGACTAAAAAATGGGCAGAAAATCCATATAGATATTTTTCCACAGAAAACATACAAGTGGCCAACAGGTACGTGAAAAGATGCCCAACATCAAAAATCATCAGGGAAATGCAAATCAAAACCACAATGAGATATCACCTCATACCTGTTAAGATGGACATCAAAAGAATAAGAAACAACAAGTGTTGGTGAGGATGTGGAGAAAAGGGTACCTTTGTGCACTCTCAGTGGGAATGCAAACTGGTGCAGCCACCGTGGGAAACAGTGTGGAGGTTCCTCAAAAAATTACAAATAAAACTACTCTTGGGGCAGCTGGGTGGCTCAGTCGATTGAACATCTGACTTTGGCCCAGGTCATGATCTCACGGTTCACGAGTTCGAGCCCCACGTTTGGCTCTGTGCTGACAGCTCAGAGCCTGGAGCCTGCTTCCGATTCTGTGTCTTCCTCTCCCTGCCCTCCCCTGCTTGCTCTCTCTCTCTCTCCTCTCTCTCTCTCAAAAATAAATAAAAATATTTTTTAAAAAATAAAACAAACAAAAATTTGTTTATGCAAAACAAACAAAAACAAAACTACCCTATGATCCAGCAATTCTACTGTGGGTATTTATTTAAAGAAAACAAAAACACTAACTCAAAAAGATATAAGCACCCCCAAGTTCGCTGCAGCATTATTTACAATAGCCAAGACCTGGAATCAACCTAAGTGTCCACTGATGAATGAATTGATAAATTGTACTATAGGGGCGCCTGGGTGGCTCAGTGGGTTAAGTGTCGGACTTCGGCTCAGGTCATGGGTTCGTGGGTTCGAGCCCCACATCGGGCTCTGTACTGACAGCTCAGAGCCTGGAGCCTGCTTTGGATTTTGTGTCTCCCTCTCTCTCTGCCCCTCTCTCTCTCAGGCTGTCTGTCTCTCTCTCAAAAATAAACATTAAAAAAATTTTTAATTAAGAAAAAAGAAATTGTGGTATATATGCAGTGGAACATTATTCAGCCACACAAAAGAAGGAAATCTTGCCACTTAGGACAACATGGATTGACCCTGAGGGCATTATGTTAAGTGAAATAAATCAGAGAAAGACAAATTTTGACTGATCCTTCTCTTCGATGTGAAATCTAAAAACAAAACAAACCCAAACCGAACTCATAGATATAGAGAACAGATCGGTGGTTGCCAGAGGAGGCGGGTGGGAGTAGGGAAAATGGGTGAAGGGGGTCAAAAGACAAAAAGTGCAGACAGAAAATAAGTGAGTCCCGGGGATGTAATGTTCAGCATGGTGGCTATAACTATTAGTACACTATTGTATATTTAAAAGTTCCTAAGAGGGGCGCCTGGGTGGCGCAGTCGGTTAAGCGTCCGACTTCAGCCAGGTCACGATCTCGCGGTCCGTGAGTTCGAGCCCCGCGTCGGGCTCTGGGCTGATGGCTCAGAGCCTGGAGCCTGTTTCTGATTCTGTGTCTGCCTCTCTCTCTGCCCCTCCCCTGTTCATGCTCTGTCTCTCTCTGTCCCAAAAAAATAAATAAACGTAAAAAATAAATAAATAAATAAATAAATAAAATAAAAGTTCCTAAGAGAGTAGATCTCTTTTTTATGTTTTTAAAATTTATTTTTGAGGGTGAGGGAGGGGCAGAGAGAATGGGAGAGAGAGAGGATCCGAAGTGGGTTCTGCACTGGTAGTAGCAAGATCATGACCTGAGCTGAAGTTGGATGCTCGACTGAGCCACCCAGGCACCCCTCTTCCGGTTATTATTTGCATCCCTCTAGTGGCTAATGATATAGATCCTTTTTCCATGTGCTTTTAAGCCATTTATATACCTTCTTTGGAGAAATGCCTATTCCAATACTGCTTTCATTTAAAAAATTGAGTTAGTTATTTTATTATTGAACTGTATAAGTTCTTATGTATTCTGGACCTAAGTTCTTTATCAGATATATGATTTGCAAATATTTCCTCCCATTCTATGGACTGTCTTTTCACTTTCTTTTTTTTTTATTATTAATTTATTTTCAATTTAGTTAACATACAGTGTCGTTTTGGCTTCAGGAGTAGAATCCAGTCATTCGTCTCTTACATATGACACCCAGTGCTCATCCTGAAAAATACTCACCTTAATTCCCATCCCCCATTTAATCCACCCTCCACCCCCTCCTTCAGCAACCCTCAGTTTGTCCTCTGTATTTAAGAGTCTCTAAGAGAGATCTTAAGAGTTACCACAAGAGGGGTACCTGGGTGGCTCAGTCGGTTAAGCGTCTGACTCCTGATCTCAGCTCAGGTCATGATCTCACAGTTCATGGATTAGAGCCCCTCACTGGACTCCGAGTTGACAGTGTGGAGCCTGCTTGGGATTCTCTCTCTCCCTCTCTCTCTGCCCCTCCGCTGCTCATGCTCTCTAAATTAATTAAAATAAATAAACTTTTTAAAAAAAGAAAAGAAAAAAATTGTAACTATAAAAAAAGAGAGGGGCACCTGAGTTGCTCAGTCAGTTAAGCATCTGACTCTTGATTTCAGCTCAGGTCATGATCCCACACTTCATGAGTTTGAACCTCATGTCAGGTTCTGGGCTGATAGTGTGGAGCCTGCTTGCGATTCTCTCTCTCCTTTCCTCTCTGCCCCTACTCCGCTCACTCTATCTCAAAAATAAATAAATAAAAAGAGAGAGAGAGAGAGAGAGAGAGAGAGAGAGAGAAACATGACACATGAAATGACAATTATGGGCACAAGGCAAAGTGGGGCACATGAAGGCAGTCTTCAATAAGAGCTACAGAATAGATGACTGATCTCACCAGTCTCTGGGTCCCCATCTTTGAAAGACATCAACTTAACATAAGTTTACATACAAATTTAACATACGTTTACATTTCATTTTTCTAGCACTCTTGATATTATTTTCTTTAAGAAAGAGAAGGGAACTGCATTTATGGACTAGAAGGATTTTCACATGTCCCAGTCCCTACTCCACTCCCTTAAGTCCTACAATGCTCTCCTGAGCTGACTTTATTATTTTTGTGTGTGATATGCAGTTTCGACCAGACAGTCGAGGGTGCCGAGGGGATATTATGGTCAGCTGCCTTTATATCAACTTCAACTGCTCTGCTTTGTGCAGCACTCACCTGGTTGAGGTGGGAGGGACCCCAACCCCAGCTTTAGAGGTGAGCCTACATGTGTCTAAGCTAATTAGAGTATGTCAATGGCCACTATGATGGGTTCAGAGACAGGCAATTAACCCAGGCCAGTCAACTAACTTTTGCAAGGCAGCAGAGCCAAGAGAACTGCAGAAAAGCAAAACTATAGCTTTGATGATCTCATCAATCTCTAGACCAGGCTATATAGCTGTAGGGCATCCAACTATTAGACTTTTTGGTTATATGAACCAATAAAGCTACTTTATCGTTTAAGCCACTGTGAGAGGCAACCAAACAAATCTGAAATGATACAAAGTAGGTCACTGAAATGTATCCTCCTTCTCAATAGGGGTATTAACAGGGTTTTATAGATGCGCAGGCTTTCACTCTTTATTAACTCACACCAGTCACATGTAGTGGGAAGGGCTAGTATAATTTCCACCAGTGCCCTGGGAAGGTTCATGTGACTCCAGATCTCTGGGATACAGGGCAGGAGCCAGGGGACTCTCCAAAATCCTAGCCCTGGCTGCTCCTTTAAAAGGCTACACATTCCTGGGGCGCCTGGATGGCTTAGTCAGTTAAGCATCCTACTTCCGGCTCAGGTCACGATCTCCCAGTTTGTGAGTTAGAGCCCTGGGAGAATCCTCCCTTCGGATTCTGTGTCTCTCCCGCTCTCTCTCTCTCTCTCAAAAATAAATAAACACTAAAAAAAAGAAATAATAATAAAAGGCTACACATTCCTGGCTTTCTTCTCTTCCTCCTCCACCTCCTAGGGTGGTCTAGAATTTCTTTGGTAGTTACTGCTCTAGAGATAATCCTCAGCAAAACCTTCCAGTAAACTCTCCCTATGAAATGAGGAGGAATCCTTAGTCGCCACCCTTGGGGCATTCACTGGGCCTCTCCTATTTCTAGAGGTTAAATCAAGCAGGAAAAGTTTACAGAACTCTGGTTTCTCAGCTTACTTGGTATCTTAAAGCTCAGCCCAGAAGGAATGATGTTTTTAACCAGCTCTATGTGTCTTGTGACCTGCCCACCAAATCTAAGAAACAAGAGCTAAGCACTTCAAGCACTTCAAGCCCTCATAGCCATTTTCACCCTCATCTTCAACTCCCTGTCCAGCTTTGTCTGGAGGGTGCCTCAGATACTGCCACACCCGATCCTTTGTCCCCAGAGACCCTCTCTACCAATCCTGTCTAATCCATCCTACTGCACACACCATAACCTCGACAGTGCCCCCTAGAGGCCATCTTCACCCCGTGCCTGCTCAAGAGCCCACCATGGCCCCTCGGAGGAACCAGGGCCCTTTGTCTGACCTTCATGGCCCTCCTCAAAGACCTGTCCTATCCCCAGTGCCCAGAGCTCTTCTGAGTTTCTGACTACTGCCCAGCACAGGGACATGGTAACCAGCCCGTTCACCAGCCCGGTCAAAGGCCTGCCCACTCTTCCTGCCAATCACTGATGACCACACATGTGCCTAGAGAGCAAATAAATGAATCAAAGGTGCCACCCAATCCCCAACCCTGGGCAGGCTTCTCCTCTCAGGGCACTCAAGTTCTCTGCCTCAAATTAGCTGTTTATTGATCTGTTCACTTCCCTCTCTCCCTCTTCCCCCAAAGGAGCATATAAACCCTAGGGTATAAGCTTCCAGCTCAGCACTGAGGGCACTGGTCACCTCTCAATGAATCCCAGCACTTGGAAACGTGCCTGGAGCAGAGTGGACATGTTTATATTTTTTCATAGTCATTAGGAAGACAGATCTGAGGTGAATCTCTTCAGTTCATTTCCTAAAACTCTTCCAACTTAGCCAACATCGGGTTTTCCCATCTCTGTCCATCCAGAGTGGGTTATCTGCCTCCATGTGCATTTCACTGAATAAACTCTTCTTACTGGATTCCTTAATTTAAACAAATGTTCCTTTTCCTTAATGTCTATGATTTTGCTTTCACTCGAGAAGTGACATTTTTCTCTCTGTGGAAAAATCTATCCTGCGAATTGCTTGACGACCATAATCCTCCAGAATCCATTTCCTTTGGAAGAAGTCTGTGGTCGCCAACATCACCACACAAGTAAACAGTCGTTGTGCCACATCTGGCAGCTTATACCCTTACATTACCAAGTAATGTTACCAAGACAGTTCTCTCCTCTCTCAACCCCTGTTCATTTTATTTAAAAAAAAAAAAAATTAATGTTTATTTTTAAGAGAGAGAGAGAGGCAGAGTGCAAGCAGGGGAGGGGCAGAGAGAGAGGGAGACACTGAATCCAAAGCAGTCTCCAGGCTCCCAGCTGTCAGTACAGAGCCCAGCAAGGGATTCACACCCACGAACCCAGGGGTCATGACCTGAGCTGAAGTCAGGTGCTTAACTCTCTGAGCCACCCAGGCACCCCTACCCCTGTTCATTCCAAACCTGGTCTCCTGGTGCCCTCCTGATTCATACCACTCCGGGACCTATTCATTTCGGTTCACAGGGTTCTGTCTACCCTTCGCACATAATCCCTACAGATTTCCAGTCTATGACCATAGCTCCAGTCGGTCCTGAGCTAAATTCTCGTGTCCTTCACTTTTGGTCCAACGTGTCCCCATCTCCAGCTTCTTTATCCTTGTGCTCACCCCCCCCCCCCCGGGGCGGGGCCCCCCCCCCCGCCCCGCCCCGCCCCTGCTCGGTTACCTGGAGCTTGTGTAAGTGCAGAACGTAGCCTTGCACTAACAGCTGGAAGAAACTGCGCAGCTGCCCCGGCCCCGGAATCTCCTCCAGGGTCCGCAGCCTCCGGTCGCCAGGCCCGTTTCCAGGAGTTTCGGCGGTGGCCGAGACGGCGGCGGGGATCGCGGCCTTGGCTCTGGCCCCGTGCGGGCAAAGGCCAGGGAGGGCCACCCGCGTCCCCAGCAGCGCCCACCGCAGCCTCGCGCCCCTCAACGCAGCCACGCGATCCATGGCCCGCGCCGCCCGCGTCTTTGGACCGCGAGCGAAGAGCGCCTGGAACCCGCTCAGAGATCTATCCCAAGGGGGCGGGGTCAAGGCGCCAGCCGCCGGGTAGGCCGGGCGCAGGCTGGCCAGGCCCCTTACCGCTCACTTTCCCTCGCGGTCCTGAGCCTCTCCAACAGGACCTAACCGACGCACAGAAGCCACCTCCTCCAGCCGTGAGCCTGAGGCCCGGGGGAGGGGCCGGCCCACGCCGCCGCGGAGGCTGTCCCGGGGGATATACGGAGACCGCCCGAGCCCCGACTGTGGCCGCCAATGCCGCGACTCCCCACCTTGCTCTCTCGCGGACTCTCAGCGAGAACTTGAAGTTCTCTGGACGGTACTTTGGTTCGCAGTAGAACAAAGTTCTCGGAAGCCCCACCCAGTGAGTGAGACTGGCCGTCGTCTGACCTGCGGGTTGGCCACCCCAGGGCGCCATCGCCCCAGCTGTCCTCCCTTCCCCGGGAGCTGGAACAGGCTGCTGAGATTAAACCGGCCACTGGCTTTTCCTATGCGCCCGCTGGTTGTCCGAGCGCCCAGCCACTAGAGAAAAGAGAAGAAAAGAAAGAAAGAAAAGAAAACCCGTCCCAAATCCAAGGTCATCTGATTCCTGGAGGGTGAAAGCCAAACTGGCAAACAAATTTAAATATTAAGGGGTTGTTAATGCAATTCTACCCACCCCCCCCCCCCCCCAGCCCCCAACGCGCGCACACACACTCCTAAATCTGCCTAGGCAGCGTTTTTCAAAGTGCAGGTTGAGCCCAGATTTACAGAATTATTTTTTTAATAAGATAAAAAAGAATAAAGCAGTATAGAAAATACTGCCAATAAGAAAGATTATTGTTTCATGAATCCTTTTTTTCACATATATTCAAAGTATATTGAAAAGTTACTTCTATTTCAAAACGTTAAAAACATGGCTTGTACAAATATAAAATAAACACAGATCAAAGATTATGCAACCCATTAGTGAGAGAACCAGCAGGATGGTAAGGCTTGTTCTAAGAACACTGGAAGAACTGGTTTTTTTTTTTTTTTTTTTTTTTTTTTTTTTTGGTGTTTTTTTTTTTTTTAATATAAAGAGCCAGAAGGAGAAAGGGCACATTAGGTTCAAAGGGGCAACAATTAGAGGGTCAGCTAAGGTGGCTACATGTGGATTTATTTTTATTTATCCCTTTAGGGGACAGTTTCTTCAATCTGCGACTGAAAATCTTTCATCAGTTTGGGAGTTTTTCTGACATTATCTGTTCAAACATTTCTTCTACCCTAATCTGTTTTTCCATTTCTCTCCTAGGACTTCAGATTATACATATGTTAGACCTTCTGACTGATCCTTCCTGTCTTTTACCCACTTTTCTGCATTTTTTAAATCCTTTTTTCTCTTCTAGCTCATTAATTCTCTATTCAGCTGTGTCTAACCTACCGTTAAATCTGCCCATTGAATTCTTTTTAATGTTTATTTATTTTTGACGGGGAGAGAGAGAGAGACATAGCACGAGCTGGGGAGGGCAGAGAAAGGGAGACACAGAATCCAAAGCAGGCTCCAGGCTCTGATCTGTCAGCACAGAGCCTGACTCAGGCACCTCACCACTGATTCTTGATTTCGGCTTAGGTCGTGATCTCAAGGTATATGAGATTGAGCCCCACGCAGGGCTCCACGGTGAGGGCGGAGCCTGCTTGGGATTCTCTCTCTGTGTCTCTCTTTCTGTCCCTCCGCTCCTCAATAAATAAATAAACTTTAAAAAATGTTATTTATTTATTTATGTATTTATGTATTTATTTATTCATTCTAGTGTTTTATTTTGAGAGAGAGCAAGAGAACAAGTAGAAGAGATGTCAGCACAGAGCCTGACTTGGGGCTTGATCCCATGAACTGTGAGATCATGACCTGAGCCAAAATCAAGAATCGGTGGTGGGGTATCTTAATGGACTGAGCCACCAGGCACCCCTTAAATTTTTTTTTACTTTATTTCATTTCATTTTTTATAATTTATTTATTTATTTTTAAATTTCATCCAAGTTAGCATATAGTGCAACAATGATTTTAGGAGTAGATTCCTTAATGCCCTTTACTCATTTAACCCATCTCTCCCTCCCACAACCCCTCCAGCAACCCTCTGTTTGTTCTCCATATTTAAGAGTCTCTTATGTTTTGTCCCCCTCCCTGTTTTTATATTATTTTTGCTTCCCTTTCCTTGTGTTCATCTGTTTGTATCTTAAAGTACTCATATGAGTGAAGTCATAAGATATTTGTCTTTCTCTGACTAATTTCTCTTAGCATAATACCTTCTAGTTCCATCCACATAGTTGCAAATGATAAGATTTCATTCTTTTTGACTGCCAAGTAATTATCCATTGTATATATATATACCACATCTTTATCCATTCATTTGTTGATGGGCATTCGGGCTCTTTCCATACTTTGGATATTGTTGATAGGGCTGCTATAAACACTGGGGTGCATGTGCCCCTTTGAAACAGCACACCTGTATCCCTTGGATAAATACCTAATAATGCAATTGCTGGGTCATAGGGTAGTTCTATTTTTGATTTTTTGAGGACCCTCCATACTGGTTTCCAGAGTGGCTGCACCAGTTTGTATTCCCACCAACAACACAAAAGAGATCCTCTTTCTCCGCATCCTCGCCAACATCTGTTGTTGCCTGAGTTGTTCATGTTAGCCACTCTGACAAGTGTGAGGTGGTATCTCATCGTGGTTTTGATTTGTATTTCCCTGATGATGAGTGATGCTGAGCATTTTTTCATGTGTCAGCTGACCATCTTGATGTCTTCTTTGGAAAAGTGTTTATTCATGTCTTTTGTCCATTTCTTCACTGGATTATTTGTTTTTTGGGTGTTGAGTTTCCTAAGTTCTTTATAGATTTTGGATACTAACCCTTTGTCTGGTATGTCGTTTGCAAATATCTTCTCCCATTCCATCGGTTGCCTTTTAGTTTTGCTGATTGTTTCCTTCACTGTGCAGAATATTTTTATTTATTTTTATTTTTTTAATGTTTATTTATTTTTGAGACAGAGACAGGATGCGAGTGGGTTAGGGGCAGAGAGAGAGGGAGACACAGAATCCAAATCAGGCTCCAGGCTCCAAGCTGTCAGCACAGAGCCCGAGATGGGGCTCGAACTCACGAGCTGTGAGCTCATGACCTGAGCCGAAGTCAGACGCTCAACCGACTGAGCCACCCAAGCACCCCAGAAGCTTTTTATTTTGATGAAGTCCCAATAGTTCATTTTTGCTTTTGTGTCCCTTGCCTCTGGAGACATGTTAAGTAAGAAGTTGCTGCGGCCGAGGTAAAAGAGGTTTTTGCCCACTTTCTACTTGAGGATTTTGATGGCTTCCTCTCTTACGTTTAAGTCTTTCATCCATTTTGAGTTTATTTTTGTGTATGGTGTAAGAAAGTGGTCCAGGTTCATTTTTCTGCATGTCACTGTCCAGTTTTCCCAGCACCACTTGCTGAAGAGACTGTCTTTATTCCATCGGATATTCTTTCCTGCTTTGTCAAAGATTAGTTGGCCATATGTTCATGGGTCCATTTCTGGGTTTTCTATTCTGTTCCATTGATCTGAGCGTCTGTTCTTGTGCCAGTACCATACTGTCTTGATGATTACAGCTTTGTAATACAGCTTGAAGTCCGGGATTGTGATGCCTCCAGCTTTGGTTTTCTTTTTCAAGGTTGCGTCAGATATATGGGGTCTTTTCTGGTTCCATACAAATTTTAGGATTGTTTGTTCTAGCTCTGTGAAGAATGCTGGTGTTATTTTGATAGGTATTGCATTGAATATATAGAT